GTTTTTTATTGTACATGTAATTCAAGAACGCATTTTCATGTTTTGCCAAAGGATCCAATTTGGTACGTATATTTCTTGGTGTAGAATTAACTAATGATAACTTTACCTAATATAATTTATATTAAAGTTTGGACATTTTTAATAAATCTAACACAAAATAATATATTAATAATTATATATAATATTATGTTGCCAAGAATTCGTAGATATATTTTTTCGTTTACTATTTTAAAATGCAGTTTTCGGCGTTTTTTGATTTTAAGGTTATGCATGTACAACTATAGTTGTACATGCATAACCTTAAAATCAAAAAACGCCGAAAACTGCATTTTAAAATAGTAAACGAAAAAATATATCTACGAATTCTTGGCAACATAATATTATATATAATTATTATATTATAATATTACATAATATAATACCCGTTTTTGGTATTTTACTGTTAAGTGGAGACTTTCTCAATCAACGCTTTTATTATTTATTATGTTGTTTGTATTTAGAGGACTTATTTGTTTTATGAATTTTACTGAATTTAAATGTTTACAATTTTCACGGAATTCATTTCTAAAATGTGTATGTATAGGTACAATTTATATTTACAGGGACTGTATGCAATTTATGTCTTCATTAGGATTTACACTGTTTATTCGGAAACCGGTAAAAACTCAACCCAAGATTTTCTCTCTAAAAACACCCAACAAAACAAATCGTTTTACTTTTTTGTTCCTAATATTTTTGATATTTTCCGGCCTTATTATCAAAAACACTCGTTTGTAACATACGCGTTTGACATAATATATTATGATTATTCGAAGTAGTTCTTTTACGATGATAACAGCCTACTGGCGCTACTAGCGATGCTTTTTTAGGGTATATTTAAATCGGCATTAGTCGGCGGCTATTTCTTATCTTATAATTTTTGAAATATATCGCTTTCTTTCAAAACCACCGAAATCGTAACGTCGGAAAATCCCGAGTAATGAAAAGTTGGGTGGCTATGACACCCCCTTACGTTCCTTCATACAAACTCAATTTAAGAAAGTCTTAAAATTCCAGTTCACATTTCTGTTAGTGGATTAAACGCTTAAGAAAAACTGTCTGCAGGAGGATTAAAATCGACTATTGAGTGTGTACTTTTATGTAGCATGTGTATTTATATTAGAAGCGGTTCATAATAAGGTTTTAGTCAGATCTGAATCAATGAATAAAACAGCCGAACAATACATAATGCGTTTGCCCCACTTTTGCTCCATTATTTTCTCTTATTCAACGGGGATTTTGGTTTTGCGCGGTCACAATAACAAAACCGAACCCTTTTTCAAAGAGCATATTTACTTTATTTCCAACAGATTATGGACCAGTATATGCAAATTTAATTCCAATTTGACTGGACGCCTTTTTTTCGACGGAGCTTTTCTGGTTCCTCGGCCAAACTTGTTCTCATTCAGAAATAACACCCTTTAATTTCTTTTGAAAATATTATGGCATCGCATGGGATTAGAGCTTGTAAGTTTGCGAATTTATTATAGTTGCTACATTTTTAAGCCATACACATGTGAAAGACTGTTGTGTATCGTCCAGGTATTTTTTTAAGTATGATTTTTTTGGTCAGGAATTTTTGAATTTAACCTTAAACAGGTAATTTTCATTCGCTAACGTAGTCTGTTCTTATTACTTTAATATCATTGACAATAATTTCGATTTGGAATTTTTTTTATTGTAGATTAAGATTAAAGAGTTTAAATATTTAATATATGATTTTGTTAGGCATCAGACATTAACAAATATTTTGTAGATTTGCAGAAATAATAAACTATAATAATTATGTTTAAGCTTCCATTATGATCCTATTTTTCTTCTAGAGTTTGAAAACGAGTTTTTTTAAATAATCTATGAGAAATTTCTGGGAAATAACACTTGCGCACTGCACAAGTGTTATTTTTCATAGATTCTTTTAATGAAAATTTATTAAATTCTCAAAAACCATTTTTAGGAATTTTTAAAATTGTCATTTCAAATTTCGTGCTGCCAAATTAAAAAACACAAAAATATAACAGGTTAAATCCTCATTTTGCAATTATAACAACAAATTAACAATATCCCTGACTTATAAAAAGTTGATTTGACAGATTTGACGTTTTCAAAATAAATCTTACTTAAATTTCTTGCAATATTTTCTTCTAATATTCACTTGTAATGTATTCTGGTAACCTTTCTTTAAACGCATTAAGCATTTAAACTCGGCAACGCAGTGTATTTCCTAAGCCGACTTCTAAAACGGTTGTTATGGAAACAACTTGAAGTTTACATGGTTGATTTATATGTTATTATTAAATCACATATGATGATGATACAAGTGGATATGAGTTTCAATGTTTGCAATATTCAACATGCAGAAATCTTACAATTTTCAGAAAATTTTTGAAAAAATGACTCTTAACTATAGTTATACCCAATTCTGCACTTATTTTCATGCCAAAATGCACTTGTACCCTTTTGCTTCTTACCCTTTTATATATGTAATTTCTAACAGTTTGCAACCAAAATTTTAACCTTTATTAATCATGTTATTATTAACAAATTGTAACTTTTTCCTTAAAAATCGTAAAAATTGTTGTACATAAATAAATAGTCCCAAAATTATTGTATCTTGTTTAACCGTTAAAAACTTTTTAATTTTGCCCCCCCCCAGCTATTACTTAATTAAAAATTGCGTCTCCAATTAGGCCTTTTAAAATTCAACAAAATTACATTAATTAAACTAACAGGCCCATAAAAATAGTAAAACAATTTAAATTTAACTATTACAAATTATAAAATTCTGCTTCCGGTCCATGACAGCGCATAATAATAAACCAATTGTAATTGGCCAATAATTATAATTATAATTATTTTTTGATCACACTTAATTGGTACATTACATTTATTAATGCAATCATTAATTTTTCTCCTGTAGCAAGTGTATTCTAAATTAATTCTTTTTTTATGGCAAATTTTAACGACTGATCTCAAGATTTTAATTGCGTTTGGTTAATTTATTTTGATTTGGACTTAAGAGGTCATAAAAATCTCATAAAATTACACTACAATAATTTGCAAATTTCGCGTATTTTAAAATAATTTTTTTGGCAAACAACTTTTAGAGGCAAATATCCAGGTAGGTATATTTTAAAACATTTCATTTATCCTCCGTTGTCTACCTCTGGTTCTAAAATAAAAAAAAATACGAGATTTATATTTCTTTTTTACATTAACAGGTAACAGCCGAGATATTTTTGCCTTTGGAAATAGCGTTGAGGTAGAGAGCGCCATCTACACTGCATCATGAAATCTAACCGTGGTCTTATTGGAATTTAGAAAAATGTTATACGTACCGTTTTATACTCTCATTGGGTGTTTTAGAAAATATTATTTTCAAATAAAACGATTGGAATAATTTATAAACAGTTTACTTTTATTTTTTTTATTTTTGGACATTGATAAAAATACAATATACACAAAGATCTTCTTCTATAATAATATGTAACAATATTTTTACAAACATTTACAAAAGGAAACCAACAAAATTAAAATAATAATCTACCAAAAAATATGGAAAATATAATAAATTTTGAGTCTAAACTTTTTCGGACACAGGTTCTCGCTAGGAGAGAGAATAGACAACGAGTACAGTAAATTTCTTTGGCAGTCAGTTACCATTATTTTGAATAATAAACAATTAAATTAAATAAAAATAAAATAGAACCTAAAGCTAAATGACGTGTTGGACACTCAGTTGTAAAAAATAATTGCACAGTACAACAAATAATGATAACAGACAGAGAAGTTACATCGTGATGCTAGAGACCTTATGAAGTCGTTATTTTGTGGCGTTGTCACCTGAAGTTAAATATGACGGTTTGACATTATTTGAATAGCTATGACGAAATAAAACGTGATTTTTTCGTTGTCAGTAAGTGTCAGCGCTTGCGAGTCCCATTTTCCGCTACATGCGGGCTACAAATTAGCCCACCGTACCAATCTGATGGTGTTTTTTACGGTATTTACACGGTGGCGAAACAGGTGTACGTTCGAAGCCCTTAATTAACTACCATCTGGGCATTCCATGACTGTTTGTTTGAAGTAAGTGGAAAAGTGGACTCACCGCTTACTGGACTTACTTCTCTCTTGCAATCCGTCGGTTTAATAATATTTAAGTCACTATTACTCACATCCTACACTGACTAGATATCAGAATTCATCTTTGAAAATTATACATTAATTATATTAAAAAATAATAATAAACCGAGGTCCTGTCTTAAAATAAATACCTACGTACAACGAGTACGATAAATATGATTCATTTTTTTATCCAAAAATAAAAAGTCAAAGTCAACTGTCACATCACTTTAACCAAAAAATAATAATAACAACATAAGAACAACTTTTATATATATTTGTTTTAAATATATACGACATTCTATACATTATAAACTTACTGTGTAAATTGTTTTATTTCGTAGACCGTACCGGTGTACAATTCTTTTATATCATTTAAAGTATAAATCACGACTCCGCTGCGTCCATCTCGACACAGCGGTGTAAATCTTATATACAACGTTGAAATAGCAATTATTTGCCTACATTATTATATTACAGAGCCACGTGTCCGCGGCATTATCACTCTGAATTATTTACAGGTAATTTACAAAAGTCTCAAAGTCAATAAAAGGTACTCACTCATGGCGGGTTTTATATACAACAGAGTTCGTTCGAAGATCATCATCACCATCAAAAGGAGGAATAATTAAAATAAGAGTCTTTTACGTAGCGTTTATCATATCCACTAGGGCTCCCAACCGGCTGCTGCCGCGCGCTGTTTCGTCGCCTTCTCGATACGTGATCGTAGCTGAGGTAGAGTTGACCGTCGGTAAACGTTGAACGATTGCCGCCGCCGCCGCCAGCTCTTATCACTAGCCGTTATCACTGTGGTGCAAAAGGGAGGCCCAGTGGGCTGGATGCTAATGGGCCGTCAGCTGGTGACCCATGCTTTGGGGAGACAACATTGGTGGACTGTGCGAATGGGAGTGCTGGCCCATGGGGGAGCCGTGCATATCGGGATGGTGTCCGTAGGCAGGGTGCATGTGTCCGCCCGGGGGCAGACCGTCCATCATGTCGCCGCCTAACGTGTTCGGCGGGGTCATCCGCTTTTCTTTCTGCCTCCTATTGCAAAACCATACTCTAACAACTTCTTTCTCTAATTGCAGACTATCGGCTAACGCGGTGATCTCTTGCGCGCTCGGTTTCGGCTGCTTGTGGAAATGTTGCTCTAATGCGCCCTTAACCGATACTTCTATGCTAGTGCGTTTTTTCCTTTTCCTGCCCTGGGCGGCAATTTTATCGATGCTCGTAGGCGAACCTGTTGTGGAATCGGCCTCTTCCAGCCACTTTTGCAACAACGGTTTCAACTTGCACATATTCTTAAAACTTAATTGTAAAGCTTCGAACCTACAGATCGTTGTTTGGGAGAATACGTTTCCGTACAGGGTGCCAAGTGCTAAGCCGACGTCGGCTTGCGTAAAGCCCAACTTGATCCTTCTTTGCTTGAATTGTTTCGCGAACGCTTCCAAATCGTCGCTGGTGGGTTGTTCTTCTTCGCCGCCGCTCACATCTCTATCGGGATGGTGAGGATTGTGCGGACTTTGCATGTCTCTATGCATGGGGTGGTGAAGTTGAGGGGCGGCTTGGTGATGGGCCAACAGGCCGTTCATCGATGTGTGGTATTGCAAAGGCGAACCGGCACCGGGGTTGTAATGTCCGGATACGCTGTGATGCCATGCATGCGGAGATCCCATTGCCTGGTGCTGTTGCCTTTGATGGTGCATTAGATCGGATTGTTGTGTTAAGGGTTTGACGTCTTGATGGGGATGGTGGACATGAGCGTGGTGCATACCGGCCATCGAGGCCGTCCACGGGTCCCCAGGTTGCAAACTCACCCACGGGTTGCCGGCCGATAACGAGACCGCCGCATGTCCACCAGGGGACGGCGAACTGGCCATATGGTGGTGCGAATTGTGGTGGTTGTGTGGCAGATACTTCATTTCGTTCGCGTCGGCCGCACTTCTTGGTGACGCACTGGTATGATAGCCGCCCACGATATTCATCCCTACGTCCAAATCAGCCGCGGTTACAGCACTACTAGCGGGCAGATACGTTGCCGCCGCCATGCCCTGAAAGGGCCTTCCTAATACTGAATCCACACTGCTCCTGTCCTGATCCTGTTCCTCAGGAAACACCGTGTTCACTTTTCCGACACTGTTGAAGCAATTGCTTGCTAAAGCGAAAAATCACTATCACTAAACTTCAAGTCGCAAGTTGTCGCAAGTTGACGACCACTACACTCTCGTCCTCTCATTTATCGATGCCGTTGCTGTTTCGATATATTTGCGATGGCTACTACCGGCTACTAGCTAGGTATCAACCAATAAATAATCATAAGCGTGAAACAACAATAGTAGTAAAAAGAAGAAGCAGTGATGTATAACTGTGTCTTACGTTATGCATCATACGCAGCATACGCTTGCAACGTTTCTGTTTGTACTGAACGATTCGTCGGCTCGGTCTCGGGAACCTGAGAGCGCCCGTGTCTCTTCCCACCACGCGATCCCTGCCACTTATAGGAGAGCGTTGCGCGCGCCATTGGTCTGGCCTGAATCGCTGTGTGGCGATGACGTCACGCCGATGCGACCGGCCACTGGTTGTCTTGGCCAAGTAGACGCCCGTGCCGAGGCCCCCACCTAACCGGCGGGGAAGTGTTTACACTCCAAAAGACACGGTAGCTAGGCAACGGACCGTACAGCGCTCACATACCGCCGACGATCTCGCGCCCGCCGTTTCGCGGAGCCCAGCACCGCCGACGCTCAAACGGTCTTTTCTACATCCTTATTTATCCGTATACACCTACACTTTTACAACCCCATGGTGATGATGATGATGATGATTTTTTCTCTTTCTGTTTATCATGAAACGAGATACTAAGTTAGTATTTTTAACCGACGGAATCTATTTCTCAAATTCATGAATTTGTTCAATTGAAGACCTTGGTGCAAGAACGGGGAGAGTCCATTTTCGTGCTAAGCAAAAATGTGTTAACTAAAGGTTAACAAATTTTTGCTTGGACTTGCCCCGATCTTGCACCAAGGTCTTCAATTATTATAGGGTAACCAGTTTTCTATTGCAATTTCTTTCATTACATAATTTATATATATAATAGACTAAATTAGCAAAATATAAGATAACATACATATAAGATAACATACACAATTTTTAAATATTTCCAAAAAACTATCACAAATTTAGACAACTTATCTATCTATCTTTTTCCTCCTTTCAAAAACATAACCTATTTGCACCTATTTTCAGTGGTACATAATATCACAATAGGATCAAAATAAATTAAAAATAATTTGAATTTCGATTTTAGATTTTCGAAAAAACTCGTTGCCAGTAAATACACTTGAGACCCTGTAAGGTTCGAGTGTCTATTGCCAAATGGCAACAGGTTTTCGAAAAAAACTGGAGAATTATTTTCAATTGAACGATGTCTCATTTGATATTTGTTGGATTATTTTTTGACGTAACAACAATGCCCCAACAATTTCTAAACAATAAAAATAAATGTCAAAAAAATACTTCAAATTATTCTCCTTGCAATAATTTAGGTACATTATTTTCGTAAGTAATATCATAAGGGCATTTAATTTTTCCGAAAAGAATCGAAAAAACACGTTGCTAAGTAATATTTTAACAAAAAGCATGAGTGCTGGTGGCAACAAAAATCCGAGTCGAAGAGGAGGATTTTTGCACCTGCACGAATGCATTTTGTTAAAAAATATTACTTAGCATTGTGTTTTTTCGATTTTTTTCACAGGAAAAATTATATGCCCGAATGGTATTTGACAAGACTATTTCATGAGTAACAGTTAACAATTAAAATATAAATTGCAATTTTTGTTGACAACAGCTGTCAAGTTTTGCCGCGGGTAAACTCGAATAAACTGCTGACAGGTGCTGTCACACAGTTTTTTCACCTAGAAACCATTTGTAATTCAAAATTGCGCGTTTGTGATTGGTGCAAATTAAGACGAGGGAAATAGTCGCTATTAAAATGTTTTTTTTTTGTCTACAACGTGCATTTAAACTTTTCAAATATTGGCGTTGAGAAACAATTTAATACTTTTTTCTACTTCCAAAATGACAAGCAGTGACTTTATGGCATTTTAGTCAAGGGCCGATGTTAGAAATAGTGGTTTTTGAGCATTTTAGTCACGGGCTGAAGTTAGCTTTATTATAAATTGCGAAAAAGTGAGGTTAAATTCGTCAGATGTCAAATATTTAACAATTAAAATTGGCTTTAAATTGATTGTGTTTGCCGTAGAATTATTAACCACTCACTTGCAAGCTTCGCTCGTAACTAAAATGGAGTATAAAAGTTGAAACATAATAAACTATTCTATTAGGATAATATAGAAATTTTAAGATGAGCACTTTATTTTAATGATTGCATGACATTTCACAACTGTCAACTAATATTAAGCTAACTTCAGCCCGTGACTAAAAACTTGTTGTTAAGTTCAGCCCGTGACTAAAACGCTATGAAGCTACAACTTGTCAAGGTGTATTTTAATAGGTAACTTAGTGTCATAAAAACATGTACGATGGGCGTTTTAAAGGTGAGAGTGGAAGAAATAATTTAGAGCAATAAAGTTTTCACAAAATTCAAAACTTCACCTTATTTATCCAGAGCTAATAATATTGATTTTTTAGCAATAAAACTAAAAAACAAATATAATGAAGTGATAAGATTTATAATTAACAATAAAAATAAATACATACATAAATCTACCTAATAATTATAATTACTCTTTTGCATAGATATAATAAGTTATTCATTTCTTACTATTGTTGCTAAAACTATAAATAAAACCACTCAATTAATTATTATTTGTTTTCATTGTCTTAAATTAATATGATTAAAATTTATATCGTGATAAATATAGCCTATTATTTAAATAGTAATTATAATTTAAACAAAATGCAAATTCACAGTTATAACAGAATTTATTTGATTTTAAAACTGTTGTAAAATAACACAATTTGAAAAAGTTTTCAATTTTTAAGTTTAAGTTAAGTTGTGTTGTTTTTCTTATACTTATAGCCTAAAAGTTATAGGCTATAAGTATGTGGATTTTTAGTTTCTCCAAATAAAAATTCCGAATAAACATTTGTCCAAGTAAATACCTTCATTTAAATTTCGAGCACATGCTGATGCATTTTCCGATGTATGTAATAACTAACATGTAAATAATATGGAATGTGGATTAACTTGTATATGTAGATTAAACTATGTTAATTGAAAAATGTTAATTTTATTTAAATTTATTTAATCGCTATTAACCAAGATAAAATTTTCCAGCAATGCTGCGAAAAGACACTCTTTTCAAAGCCTATTTACCTAACAACAAACATATTTATTTGTCGAGACGTCAACACATTTTTTGTTTTTATTTATGCACCCTACTTTTAATATAATGTTTTGGTGGTTAGTTTTGGGCTCATACATATGGACCTAAAACCATTGTATTGCAAATTTCATGTTAATTTTACTTGGTGCCACATACAGCCTAGGATTTGTTCAAACGGTCAACAGCAACAGGTGAAAACTGATTTAATTTTTTTTATTCTATAATGTCGCCAATTTTGCTATACAAGTGAAATAAAACTAGTCCAAACAAGTCATAAAATTTACCTAATAATACATTTCCTAAATGGTTTTACAAGCGTTTAAATTTACCAAAACCTGGGTTTTCACGAGATCAATGAGATCAGTAGTCATGTTAATCCTTTTTGCTTGAAGTTGTAAATTAAGCGTTGTTGACCGAATTTTGACAGGCTTAGGACATTCCGTAATGGGATGTTTTTCGATAGGCCTTTGTGTATTCATAAAGGTAATTATATTCCGCAAAAGAAACAGGTAGGTATTTATTACACCTCAAATACATTTCAGGCCAGCTGGGTCATTCCGTAAACAAACACTGGTATTTTTGTAATTATGTTAAGTTTTTTGTTGCTAATGTTATGGAAATTGTTAATGTATTTTAATATACTGTATAAATGATTTAATAAGTGGGTATTGCCTGCGTTATTTAAATAAGAAGAACATTTAAGTTACCTTTCAAGACAGGTGTAAACGTTTTTGAAGTATTGCATAACAAAATTAAAATACATATATTTATTATACAATGTATGTATACAGTATAAAATTTACTATTCTTATTTTTGACTTATAAGTATATTGTATATTTTATAAGAACTCATATGCATACATAAAGCTAAATGATTAAATTCTATAGAAGTGAATGTTATAATAAAAACTAGTAAAAAACATTCATTTCTTAAAAATAATGATAATAGACAAAATAATATTAAAAATGACAATACAGTTCATTATAATTAGAACCAATAAAATGCCAGTATTCCATGGTTACGCATTTTATCACAGTGGCAATATTTTTTATTACCTTGTTTACACGTTGCTAAGGATTTTGACACTTTTCTTGATTTGACATTTGTTGACATTTAAATACTGTGTTTGTTAAATGATTAAAATAATGAATCTATAAAAGATCGATGGGTTGGTGTAACCGATAATAAAATTAAGGTAAGTTTGAATAAATAAGGTTTATTAAAGTCTTTTTATATTTTAAAGTTCATTTTAATTTCAAATGTAAAACTGACAATTCGTTAAATCCTAAAATTCATTATATTTTCTCAGTAAATATAACTCGTGGTATGATTAATTATCGATGATATTAACTCATTGAAACCGAAGCAGCACATTTCACTCGTCCTGCGGACTCGTGAAATCTGCAGCTCGGTTTCAATTCGAAAATATCATCGATGATAATCATACCACATGTTATATTATGGGTGACAATATTTTATTAAATGTGAGTACCTACATAATATGTAGTACATATATTTTTTTCTAAATCAATTAATTAAGAAAGGTATTGATTTTTGTTTTTTTTAATCAATTTTTATTTATGGCATGTGGAAATTTCTAAATATAAACAAAAATCCTTAAATTTCTTATAAACTAAAATTTTCAAAACTAAAAATAACTTTGTTTAATATTAGAAAAAAGCAATACTTTTTAATTTTAGTTAAATTAATTAATTTATTTATTTCAATAATTTGTAAAAATATATTTTACTAAAGTTTTTCCGATTCCGTATAAATACAGAATAATTTGTTTTTAATAGGTACCGTCAAACGGGGCTACTTTGACACCTTTTTAAGACATTTTTCAATACAACGCCGTTATTTGTCAACCAAATGTTGTTAAATAAACGGGATTACAACAAATCTAATCTGCTGAATCGATTGCTGCATTGCTCTAAAAACAATAGTTAAAATAAAAACGAATAAAAATGGGTATGTCAAAGTTACCCCGTGTTTGGGGCTAGTTTATTCGCCAAAAATATTTATTGAAGGCACTTTTAATTAGATATTACAAAAATAAAAAGTTCTTTTTGTCTTAATCTTTGAATGAAACAAGGAACTCAAGGAAACATGTCTTAATATATAAAAATAAAATAAAAAACGTTGTACGTCAAAAACGTTAACAAAAAAAACAAAAAAACCATAAATAATGTTCATAGTGTCAAAGTTGCCCCTTGGTACTGAAATATAAATAGGTATACCTAATAATAAAACTGAGTAAATTATACCTACT